GCAGGGGCGCGCGCCCGAGGAGGACGAGCCAGAGCCCGGCGGCGGGCAGGACGCGGGGCTCCCGGCTTCCAGCGGCGAGTCCTGGGGAGGGGCCACTTTCTGCCCCCTCCTCCCACGTCACCCAATGGAAAACCGCTCACTCCCTCCAGCTCCGAATAGCACTCCCCTCGACGATCACTTTTCCTCTTTACGAGAAAAGGCGACCACCAGGAGTGGTCCCAGCCCTGGCTCCATCCTCTTGGATGCTTGTCCCAGGCCGGTTGTCGTGGTCACCCTTCTCCATCTTAGGACCCCGCCCCCCCTCTGGCTTTGTGGTTGAGACCACACCTCTCCTTTCCCCACACCTGGAGAAGGTTGCTAAGGTAACCTTAGTCTCTGGTGGTGGTCCTGCCACTAACGACCTTACTATGACAGTTCTCCTCACCTACCACTCAAGGAGAAAGGACCCTGGACTTTTAAAGAGATTGATGGCTGAAAAGCACCTTTTTCTCAGCCCCTCCCCCATACCACCCCGTTGGAATTACCATGGAAACCATCTCCCTCTTTCCCCTTCATGGGAGGCCCCTGGGCCAAACCAACCAGGTGTTTTTATTTAGAGGCAGAGATGCTCTGCCGAGGAGAAGTTGCTATGGTTACAGGTCCCGGATCATCCCCAGAGAGAGGAGAAACCGGCAAGGCCAAGTCCTGGTTGCTATGGGAACAGAGACAGCCCCCTCCCAGTTACCCTTGAACCAGGCCCACCAATGTTGGGAACATTTCAGGATAGACTCCGGAGGTAGAACTAGCTTAGGGATGAAGTTGTCATGGTAATAACCGTTTCTCACTTCCCACCCCACCTTTCTGGGCGCATCTAGGAGGAGAGAGATTTCGGATTGCTATGGTAACTGAAGTCCTTCCTACTCCGTTTTCTTACCCCCCACCCCCGACGCTCCAGGTGGTACCTGAGCTTATAGGGTGTCCAGAGAAGGGCATTCCTGATCCTCCCCTTTTGTAGATAATATGAAACTGTGTCTTATTCTAAGGAGTCTTGGTCGTACACCAGTGACATACCCAGCACCTAATGGATGCCAACAGTTTGAGCTCTCGCCAGCCACTCCATGGCAATCGACATGATGGTCGGCTTCCATAAAGATTTACAGTCTTGAAAACCCTATGGGGCAGTTCTACTTACCCTGTTCTGTGGGATTATTTTGAGCCCCAGTTAACTCAATGACACTAGGTTTGGATTTTGGTTTGTAAGTGCTATATTCTGTCAAATTGATTGATTCAGGATTCTCTGGTTCTCCTTCCCACAGCCGTGCAGCTGAATTGGATCGTCCCCCAGGAGATCTCCCACCCTGCGACCTAGGAGGTAAGACGCTCACAGTATCAGCAGCTCTTGAGGGGAAATGTCTCTTCTTCATCCTCAAAGGCTTTCCCACATACACCTCATCTTCACTGTCCTCGCATCCCCATTCTACAGATGTTGCAGCTGAGGCTCAGGCCAGCTCATATCTCAGGTGGAGGAAGTCCAGACCCAGAATGAATCAGGATCTACTTATAATAGGAAAAATCATATATACATATTGTATATGTATACACACACACACACACACACACACACACACACACACACGTTGTTGTTGTTGATTGCATTTGAGTCGAGCACGACCCATAGCAACTCCATGAACAAAAGGCCTGAAGTCCCTCTACAACTATTAACGTTTATCAAAGTTCATAGGCTTGTTATTTAGGAAGTGTTTGCCACTCCTGCATTGAGTCAACTGCGATGTATAGCGGCCCTATGGACAGCAGCTCTGAACCCTGCCCTGTCCTGAGCCAGTCTCACTAACTCCGACACACCTACCCACATCGCCCCAGTTACTGTGTCACTCCATCTCACCCAGGGTCTCCCTCTCCTGCACTGTCCGTCCACCCTTCCAAGCATGATGTCCTTCTCCAAGGACCGATCTCTCCTGGCCAACATATATATATATTTGAAAGTAGGACTGGCATCCACTTCCGAAATAACATGCCTCCAGAAACTCTATGAACTTTGATAAATGTCAATGGTTAGGGAGCTCTGGTGGCCTAGTGGCAAGACGCTGCACTGCAATCCCAGAGGTACACGGTTCAAATCCACCAGATGCTCTGCTGGAGAAGGAGAGGGCAATCTCCTTCTGTACCAGTCAGATCTGATTTGATGGTACACGTAAAAAATAATACGATAAAAAAAAAAATAAATGTCAATGGTTGTAGAGGGGCTTCAGGGCTTTTGTTCAAAGAGTTACTATGAGTTGTGCTTGACTCAAAGGCAATCAATAACATATACATACATACATATATATACACACATATATATGTATATATATCTCATCACTGTCCAATTTAAGTAGGAACCAACTCGTAGCTGACCCTTCAGCAGGCTTCTGAGGCTATAAACTGCAAGGGCATGGATTGCCCATCTTACTTCCACAGAGCTGTTGCTAGATTCAAACCACTGTTGAGATGCGGCTTTTGGGTAGCAGCTCGACTGCCTATGGAATAGGCCTCCAGAGCTCACTGTGAGAAATAAGAAGCCAAATAAGGTCTTAGCTTAACTACCTTCTGCTTTTCCGACCATGTTTTCCAAAGCAAGCCTCTTGTTTGTCTCTCCCAGTCCTTGTGCCTCTGCTGCCCCATCTGTAATTGTTTGCATGCTTTTAGCTCTTACTTCACCAGGACGGAGTTGGTGTCTTAGTTTCTAAATGCTGTTGTAACAGAAATAACCACAAGGGGGTGGCTTTAAGGAACAGAAATGTGTTTTCTTACAGTTTATTCTTTTCATTAGGTGCTATTGATTTGGTTCCAGCTCACAGCACATCAAAACAAAATGCTGCCCAGGCCTACAGTTCAGGGCAGTCTGAAGTCTGAATTCAGGGTGCTGGCTCTCGGGAAAGGCTCTCCATCTCTCCCTTTCCCCCCTTCACTCAGCACTGGGGGATCTTTGTCTCTTTCCATTTCTGGCCCTGGGTTCTTTGGTGATCTTATAGTGGCATCAGTTTTCGCTATTTGTTACACTCTCCCCCATATAGGGAGATTTGGTGGCCTAGTGGTTAAGGAGTTGAGCTGCCAACACAAATGCAGGCGGTTCAAGTCCACCAGTGGACTCAGGGGAAAGATGGGCAGTCTCCTGTGCGATTTAGAGCCTGTGAAAACCCACTTAAGGGCCAGCTATGACGCTGTTCTAACTCAAGACCAAAGACATATAACAATAACTCTGTTCCTGTCTCTTTTTAGATCAGAATTGGTGTAAAACACATTATTATAATAATGTCAATTAGCATAACAAAGAGAATTCTATTCCCAGGTGAATTACAGCCACAGGTAGTTCTTTCTTTATGGTGTATTTGAATTATGACATCTGTTGGGTTTTTTCTACAATTCACTGTTAGTGATGCAGCACTAGCCGTGCAGTGATTTAGTGAAATGGTCAGCAGTTCATACTCCCTAGCCCCTCTAGAAGAAGAGGCAGTCAGCTTCTGTAGAGATTTACAGCCTTGATAACCCTGTGGGGGTCATTCTGTTCTGTCCTACAAGGTGACTTTGAGTCTGAATCAACTTGGTGAGTTGTATTCTTAGTAATATGTAGATACAGTGTTGCGGCTCATAATTCACTGAAGTTACCATTCTCAGATGTTCAGGTGTTCAAAGCACTGTCATATAGCAAGTTATGAAAACAAAAACCAAAGGGGTTTCATCTGAACTGATTGTTGTCAGAGTGGTAGGAACTGCGCCCCATCGTAAATTGGAGACTATTTACACAGGAGTTAGAATTTACAGCATATAGTTCTGGGGAAGCACAACTTAGTCCCGAACACCCAGTGGGTCCCCAGAACACAGGGCCTGGCACAGAGAGCGCTGGGCTGATAATCTTATTTGTTTAGTTGAATCAAGTCACATGCCACCATCAGCCTTGAAAACACCTGTTGGGTTAGGGCTGGGAAACACGAACCAAACACAGACCAGTGGACCCAAAACAGACAGTGGAGTTGTTGGTTTAAAGCACAGACTTGAAAGATGGCCTGTTTGAGTCCTGGTTCCGCTACTTCCCAGCTATGTGATCTTGAGCAAGTGCCTGCCCCTCTGTGCTACAGTTTCCCCCTCTTTCGATCATTTATTCCCACCGAAGCATCTGTTCTTCGCTCATGTGACCTGATGGGACAAAGGAGAACTGCCCCATAGAGTTTCCAGGGCTTCGCCGCTGCAAGGCTGTTTCCTCTTTTTCTCTCAGAGCTGCTGGTGGGTTCGAACCACAGGCCTTTTGGTCAGCAGCCCAGTGCTTAGCTGACTTTGTCACCAGGGCTTCCACGTGATGATAAAAAAACTCCTTCCTGTCGAACTGAGTCCGTGCACAGTGACTGTCGGGTTTCCAAGAATGTGATTCTCTAGTAGACGCAACCACTCGCGTCTCTCGCTTGAGAGCAGCTGGTGGATCTGAACTGCTGACCTTTGGGTTGGCAGCCCAACACATTATGAACTAGCCACCAGGACTCCTTATGTGATAATTGCCTAGGGATTAAACAAATTAATGTGTATCAAGTGCTTGGAACAGGGCCTGGCAGTGCTTAGAACAAAGCCTGGTACATCATGAAATGCTAGAATTGCTGGTGTCATCATCCTGCTATTTTTAAAAATGTACACCATTTAGACCTGCAGAAATCATCACGTCCTCTCCCCTGCCTCTGTGAAGGGGTGCCGGTGGTACAGTGGCTAAGTGGTCTGCTGCTATGGGAGAGGTTGACGGTTCAAACCAACCCAGTAGCTCTGGAGGAAGAAGATGTGACTGTCTGCTTCTGTCCAGATGACAGCTGTGGAGAGCCTGTGGGACAGTGCTGCTCTGTGCTGTAGGGTCACTGTGATCCAGAATTGACAGCAATGGGTTTGGGTTAGGGTTTAGGGGGTGCCAGGAATGGGGACAAAACACAGAAAGGGATTCCTGCCTGCAGGTGGGACTCTGGCTAAGCAAGATAATCGCATGATATCTACACAGAGCTCCGTGACCTAGCAGGAAAGGCGCCACCCACCAAAAGGCATGCAGTTCGAATCCCTCAGCCGCTCCTTAGGAGAAAGATGGGCAGTCTCCTCCCGTGTGATTTACAGCCTCTGAAAACCTGCCAGAGGGTCAGCTGTGAGTCAGTTCCAACTTGACAGCACGCAGCAGCAGCAACAACATAGGGAGCTCTGGTGGCCAAATGGTGAGGAGTTGCGTGTCCAGCCCAAAGGCAGGCAGTTCAAATCCTCCAGGTGGCTCTTCTGGAGAAAGACGTGCAGCCACCTTCTGTGCGATTTACAGCCTCTGAAAACCCACTGGAGGATCAGCTGTCAGTTCTGAGTTGCTGGCAATGAGTGAATGAGTGGTAGGATAAAGAGCTCTGGTGAGGGAGCTCTGGTGGCCTTGTGGCAAGGAAGCTGCACTGCAATCCCAAAGCCGTTCAGTTCGAATCCACCAGATGCTCTGCTGGAGAAGGAGGGGCAAAGTCCTCCTGTGCCAGACGGATCCAATTTGACAGTAGACAACAAGAAAAGGAATAATTATTTTTTTAAAGAGTTCTGGTGGAGGTGTGATTACAGCATTGGTTCAGACCTGCCAACTGCTTCATTAACAATAGAGACCTTTGGAAGTCCTGTGCAGTCGTTCCCCTTGGCCCTGTAGGAACTCTCTAAGGTTCCTTTGAGTGGGAATCAGTTCAGTGGCAGTCCATTTGGTTTGATTTTATCTGTGTCAAGTAGGAGCCCTGGTGGTGCAGTGGTGAAGCATTAACTGAAAGGCTGGCTGATGGAACCCTCCAGCCATTTGCAGAAGAAAGACATGGCAGTCTGCTTCTGTGACGGTCTCCAGTCTCTGAGACGCCGTGGAGCCGTTTTCTCTGTCCTTTAGGGTTACTGTGAGCCAGAATCCGCCCGATGGCTTGGGCTTGTTGTGTGGGTTTTGTTTTTCTGTGCCAAGCACCGAGCTGTGGAACAGCGATGCAGTGAGGAGCAAGGCTGGCTGGCTGGGGCACAGAGTCAGAGGAAGGCATGGTGACACGGAGGCAGAGATGGAGAATGGACAGAGTGAGGCCGCACAGAGCTTTGGAGAATGTTGTAAATGCCACCCTGTCTTTCCCCCACCCCGGGGTCCTAGGGAGCTGTGGTAGGTGCTGAAGCAGGGGAAGGGGAAGTCAGGTTGGTGGTTTAGGGAGGCCCCCCTGACCGCTCTGGGGAACGGCGGTGGCCTAGTAGTGAGGAGGTGCACTGCAAACCAGAAAGCACGAATCCACCAGCAGCTCCTGGGGAGAAAGATAAGCGATCTCCTCCATGCGATTTATGGCCTCTGAAAACCTCCTGGAGGGTCGGTTCCAACTCCACAGCACATAATAACAACAGCAATCTCTGAGGAGGAGGACTGTGTTAGGACAGGACTGGGGCAGGAGACCAAGGCTGGGGCAGGAGACCAAGGCTGGTGGGGACCGAGGTGGTCCAGGGTGAACAGAGTTGTGGGAGAAAGGGCCAGACCTATTTAGGAAGTAGCTAGATACGGTGATTGTCGATGTTATCTGTCACCCTCTCTCTGTTGTTACTGTGTGTCGTCAAGTCAGAGCTGATTCACAGCTGACCCTCCCGGGGTGCGTTTCTGGAGGCTGTCAATCACACTGGAGGAGACTGCCCATCTTCCTTCTGCAGGGCAGCTGGTAGATTCAAATTGTCTGCCTTTAAGTTGGCAGCTCCACTCCTTACCACTAGCCACCAGAATTCCCTATCCCCCTCGGTGTTGCGTGCCATGTAGTCAGCCCCGGCCCAAAGCTACTGTTCTGGATTCAGGTCTGATTGAGTGCATCCCTGCAGGCAGGGCCGGACAGCCCCATAGGCCTTCCAAATCTGCAATCTTTATTGGAGCAAACCACCACCTCTGCCAGCGAGCTGACTGGAGGTTTGCATAATCACTGTGCCACCAAGACGTCTCTGGGAAGAGCAGAAACTAAAGCAACTCACAGCCTCGAGGTGATTCAGTCTCACGGAGACCCTTTCTCACATCTCCAAAGCTATAAACCTTAAAATATAAATCTCATCTTGGTGTCTGCTCAAACAGCAGCTTGTGGATTCAAACTGCTGAGCTTTAGGTTGGCAGAATGATGCGTAATACACAGGGCCAAAGTAAAAATTCTGAATGGAAACTTTGAACCCCTACGCAGAAGCCAGTTACGCCCCCCCTGTTTGGGAGACCAGCCAAATCTTAGCGCAGAGGCGGAGATGGGGAGACAGCGCCACCTACGGCTCACTTGGGAGTGTGGCCAATGCATGGCTGTTTCTCATTCCCTGTTTTTTAGTTTTATTATTATTATTTTAATTAGCTCCTAACATTTAAAAACTGGAATGATCTAATTTGCAGAAGAATTGTTTTTCTGGCTTTCCTTGCAAAACCGAAGCCATCTGGCCGCCCCTCAGGGAGGAGCGATTTGAGGATCTTGAGTGGGAGTAGGGTTTGCACACTAAAGCTGAAGGGTGCAGCTAAAGCCAGGGTGTTGGAGAGGCGGCAGGAGATCACAGGTGGCTCTGGGAGCGGCAACGATAGAGAACAAAGTGGAAGTTGGGCTTGGGGTGGGAGTTAAGGGAGCATGTATTTATAACTGAACTGGAATCTGAGTGAAAAGTGGATAAAGAGGAAGGGTGGGACTGAACAAGGAAAAAAGGACAGTGATTAATTTGAAAAAAGGCTTTTTATTGAGAATCTGTTATGTGTAGATTAAGTGTTGCACTACTAACTGAAAGGTCATCAGCTCAGATCCACCGTCTTTGGTCCAGAAGCTGTATCCATATTTGGAAACCTTATGGGGACAGTTCTGCTCTGTCCCATAGGGAGAGTCAGCCTGGACAACAGCGGGTTTGGTTCTGGTTATGTGTGTGTGTGTGTACCTGATTCCAAGCTGGCTGGTACCAGGGACGAGCAGGCCTAGGGTCTGGATATGTGGGTTCCTTGATGCAGTGCAGGGACACAGCCATGGCCAGGGAATGATGATTCGGAGTGGAGGGGCTACGGTAGGTGAAACTTGGAAACTGAAGTAGGGGAGGTATAACCCAGCCTGGGAGGGCTTTCTGGAAGAAGTGATGTCATAACTAAAAGCGAATAGGGAGAGAAGATATGATAGAAGACAAGGCTTGGTGGTGGCATGGATTGGGGGCGATACTTTGGCAACCAGCTTCACCCACTCCCTCATTCCCTCTTCTCCAGGATGCCAGGAGGCCCAGCTAGGGCCTGAGTCGGCCCCATGCGGCTCACTCGATGCCAGGCTGCCTTGGCGGCTGCCATCCTCCTCAACCTCCTGGTCCTCTTCTATGTCTCATGGCTGCAGCAGCAGCCCAGGAACTCCAGGGCGCGGGGAGCGCGCCGCGGGGCTGCCACAGGCCCCCGCATCACCATCCTGGTGCGAGAATTCGAAGCCTTTGACAACGCTATCCCGGAGCTGGTGGACTCCTTTCTGCAGCTGGACCCGGCGCAGCCAGTGGTGGTGGCAGCAGACACGCTGCCCTACCCGCCCCTGCCCCTGCCCCGCCTCCCCAATGTCCACCTGGCGCTGCTCCAGCCCGCCCTGGACCGGCCCGCAGCCGCCTCGCGCCCGGAGACCTACGTGACCACCGAGTTTGTAGCCCTGGTGCCAGATGGGGCGAGGGCCGAGGCACCAGGCCAGCTGGAGCGCATGGTGGAGGTGCTCCGGGCGGGAGGCGCCCGCCTGGTGGCTGCTCCCGTCGCCACCGCCAACCCCGCGAGGTGCCTGGCCCTGAATGTCAGCCTGCGGGAGTGGACCGCGCGCTACGGTCCAGCTCCTGCCGCACCGCGCTGTGACGCCCTGGACGGGGACGCCGTGGTGCTCCTGCGCACGCGCGACCTCTTCAACCTCTCCGTGCCCCTCGCGCGGCCCCTGGGCACCAGCCTCTTTCTGCAGACGGCTCTTCGCGGCTGGGCCGTGCGCCTGCTGGAGACGCCTTTCCCCGCCGCTCGCCAGGCCCCGCTCGCCACGGCGCACGCGCGCTGGAAGGCGGAGCGCGAGGGGCGCGCGCGGCGGGCAACACTGTTGCGGACGCTGGGCATCCGCCTGGTGAGCTGGGAGGGCGGGCGCCTCGAGTGGTTCGGCTGCAGCAAGGAGAGCACTCGGTGCTTTGGGACGGTGGTGGGCGACACACCGGCCTACCTGTATGAGGACCGCTGGACGCCCCCCTGCTGCCTGCGCGCCCTGCGCGAGACGGCGCACTACGTGGTCGGGGTGCTGGAGGCAGCGGGTGTGCGCTATTGGCTGGAGGGCGGCTCGCTGCTGGGCGCCGCCCGCCACGGGGACATCATCCCGTGGGACTACGACGTGGACCTGGGCATCTACCTGGAGGACGTGGGCAACTGCGAGCAGCTACGCGGGGCCGAGGCGGGCTCCGTGGTGGACGAGCGAGGCTTCGTGTGGGAGAAGGCAGTGGAGGGCGACTTCTTCCGCGTGCAGTACAGCGAGAGCAACCACCTGCACGTGGACCTGTGGCCCTTCTACCCCCGCAACGGCGTGATGACCAAGGACACGTGGCTGGACCACCGGCAGGACGTGGAGTTCCCCGAACACTTCCTACAGCCCCTCGTGCCCCTGCCCTTCGCCGGCTTCGTGGCCCAAGCGCCCAACAACTACCGCCGTTTCCTGGAGCTCAAATTCGGCCCCGGGGTCATCGAGAACCCGGAATACCCCAACCCAGCCCTGCGCAGCCTGGCAGGAGGCGGCTGAAGCCCCGAGGCCAAGGTCAGGGGAGTACTCGGGCACAGGAGCTGCCTGTGGGGGTCTCTGCGTGTGTAGATGCTTTGGGCGGGGGAGTAAGGAGAGAAACTACGTGAAATAACGGCAAGAGACAAGACTGGCTATTAAGCGGGAGGCAAGAACACACCAGAGCCTCTCAAATCAGTGTGTCCCTGCCCCTCCTGGGTAATAGGTACTTATGGGTGCACTCTGCCTCGTCCTAGGAATTAGGGGTGCCCCTGGCATTTGGTGGTCCCAGCCAGGATGGCAAGCCGCCCTGCAGGGCCCAGCCCAGCCTTAGCCAAAGATGCCAGGAGAACCTCGATCTTCGATCTACAAGAAGACCTAACTCCGTATCTGCAGCATGGAGACCTCGGGTCAGAGGATGTGGGGTTCGGGGTCCAGGCTGTCGGGATTCAAGTCCTTGCCGAGCAGCTGGTGAAGTGGGTCTGGGACGCGCTCTCCGCTTCTCTGGCTTCATTGCTGCTAAGCTCCTTCGCCGCTGGGGTTATTGTGGCCGCTAGAGGGAGCGCTGTCCCTCTCCTAGTGGAGGACCTAAACCATAAGCTCAGGGCTCTTTATTTTTACCTGCCAACTGGACTCTTGAACCTTTGGTCTTCTCTCTGAGCCTCTGTGGGGCAGCGATGGCCATCTCTTCGTCCTCAGAAGCGGAATGAACCGTCTTCCTTCCGGGGAGAGGAGGGCAAGCCTCTTTGAGGCACCTGCCAGACCCCCTCCCCATCATCAGCATATTTTCACATGAACAAAACAAAATTTAACTCTTACCGTTTGCTTTACAACTACTCTTTTCCCTCAGGTATTTTTGTAAATGTGCTATGCTCATTTGATGGTTTAGTGTGGTGTTTTGTTTTTTAAACTTTACAGTAGGGTAAAAATATCTTGGCTTAGCAAATTTACAAAAATACCTGGGAAGAGAAGGTGTGATTGACAAGGTGTTATTTGTGTTGCAAAAGGGTTACCTCATTATTTGGGCTCTGAGCCTGTTTCCCCACTTGCAAGATGGGGTCACAAACAACCTTAGCTCATATGTAGTGAGCACCTACTGTGTACAGGCTGTGTTCTCAGTGTTCTGTGTGGATTAAGCGATGAAGACCTTACCCTAGTCTTTGGGGTGACAGCTGTTCTTATCCCCAGTTTACAGATGAGGAAACCGAGGCTAGAATGGTGCAATCACTTACCCAGAGTCCGCTGAGGCAGTGGAAGTGCAGGGACTTGAACCCAGGGCCTTGGCCTCTGAAGTCAACACACTGTTACAAAATCACCTACTATGCCTCAGTCTAACTCCCTGGGTAGTGCAAAATGGTTAACTGAAAGGTTGGAAGTTCAAGTTCACACAGAGGTGCCTCAGAAGAAAGGCCTGGTGAGCTGCTTCTAGACAGTCATTGACAATTTTGTGGGACACATTTCTGCCCTGACACGGTTGGAGTCACCAAGAATTGGAGTTGATTCAATAGTGTCTAATAGCAAGTGGGACTGGTGCCCAAGAGGGGATTCTTGGAGGCCAGGCAATGTAGCGGGAGGTCAAAGCAATACAATACCTGGTGTTGATTGTGCATCTAAAATACTGTTTGGGCACGTTCCCCATCTGTGTATAGTTATTTATAAATCATGTCATGCACTACTCTCAGTCTGTATATTGGGTAGCAATAAAACTTAAATTATTCCATCCTAAAAGAAAAACTGAGTCTGTGTTTTCTTGCCTCATGCCAATGATTTGTCTTGCACACATAGGTGTATACACCTGGATTTTTGAGACCATGGGTTGAAAACATGGGCTCTAAAAGAGAGAAGAGAGCGCTAGTGGTTCAGTGGTGACGGCACTCAGCTGCTAATCAAAAGTCCGGCGGTTCGAACCCACCGGCCACTCCATGGGAGCCAGGTGAAGCCAGCTGCTGCGCCTGCAAAAATAAACCCAAAGCCACATCCTTCAAGTCCATTCCAACTCGTGGTGACCCTTCATCTGGTTTCCAAGACAGGAGGAGACTGCCCACGTGTATCCCACAGGACACCTGAGGGATTCGAACTAACCAACCTTTTGGTTAACAGCCCTATACAGGCTACACTACTAGGGTTCCTTCTGCAAAGATGACAACCTAGGAAACCATATTTGAAGTTCTCTGACCAAAAAGGCCACTGTGGGTCAGAAACAGCTTGATGGCAATGAGTTTGGTTTGGTTTTGGAAGAGAAAGAGGCCACAGTTCCAACCCCAGTGCCACTGCTTCTCAGTGGGGACTTGGGCCACCCTTGGCTTCTCTGTGTCTCCAGTTTGAATCCAGAAAAAGGATCCTGAGGGGTGCAGTGCTTGGAAGTTAAAAAAACTGTGGTAACCCTGAGGGGAGGAGCATCTGACCTTTAAAAGATGGGGAGAGAATCCTCTGCAGCTGTAGTTCAAAGCTGATTCCTGTGAGCTCAGACCGTGCTCCCACACGCCACAGCTTCCTAAAAGCCAGGCCATCTGCTCTCCTAGTGAGAGGTTTCTCACTGCTTCTCTACTGCATCTGACAATTTGTTGCAATGACCACACAGAACTCAGAGATCATGAGTATGATCATGGCGTTTGTTAAGGACTCAGTGGGCTACAGTGCAGATTAGGGAGCATTTAGGATTTAACTCTTCAGTTAGAAGTTAAGCACTAGTGGCAAGGAGCTGCAACTACAATCCCAGAGGCGAACGGTTCAAATCCACCAGATGCTCTGCTGGGGAAGGAGGGACAATCTCCTCCTGTACCAGTCAGATCTGATTTGACGGTACACGTACACAAAAATAATAAAATAAAATTTAAAAAAAAAAGAAGTTAAGCACTAAAAAAAAAGAGAGTTAAGCACTCAAGTGGGCTTGCAAGCTGGCCTCTGTCTGACCCTCAGCCTCTACCCTGCTCAGGTAAGTGTTCACAAAGCTCTCAGCTCTACCTTTACGGGCCACCCCCACGGTGCCAGTGAGCCAAGGCCTGAAAGGCACTCATCTCTAGCTTCATGGACTGGTAAACCTACCTTCCGCAGCAAATACCTAAAGCCACCTACCTTGCCAGCAAGCACTCAGCTCTCTTGCTCTATGGGACAGGATCCCGCAGCTCTGTCCCACACAGGCCTCTGGTTCTCCTCCATCGCTGCTGTCTCTCGGTCTTGCTCCATCCCTTTGTCTCCCTCTTGTGCAGAAATCTCAGTTCCAAGGACATACTACACTCTGGTTCCTCTTTCCCGGTGATAGTGAGATTTCCTGTTTTCCGTCCCTGGCCTAGCTCCGTGTAAGCCTGGTGGGATGGCAACACTGACGAATCCCCGTGTTAGCGTTCTACACTCTATGTGCATGCGGGAGCTCTGGTGGCCCAGGGGGTAAGGAGTTGCACTGACAGCTTAAGGCAGATGGTTCGAATTCACCAGCTGCTCTATGAGAGAAAAATAAACAATCTCCTCCCACGTGATTCACAACCTCTGAAAACCCACTGGAAGCTCAGCTATAAGTCGGTTCCCACTTGGCACCGATGAGTTTGAGGTTGGTTTTTTGGGTGGGTTTTTTTTTTTAAATTTCTCTGAGACTTTCTGTAAACCTTAAACTGATTCCTTGACGTCTTCCACAAACCAAGTCACAGTTTTGGAGGGTTTTTCTTAGAAGGGAGTTTCTAATTAACTTTTTATTATCATTTATAATTAACTTACTTGAGTGAGAGTTTCCAAATTACATTGGTTTTTTTCATTCAAAGGCATTGGGTTTCATAACATAATTACAAGTTCATTGGATCACTAGTTCACATCTCATAATATTAATTACCTTTGGTTCATATAATTAATGAATTACAAAGTCCAACCAGCCCATAGAGAGTTAGGAGCTCTGCTGCCAAACCAAAGGCAAGAAGTTCAAATCTACCAGCCGCTCCTCAAGAACCAGATGAACAATCTCCCATGTGATTTACAGCCTCTGACTTGATGGCAACGAGAGAATCAACCCTACTGTATATTACTGCCTTTATTTTTACCCAATTTATTTTTTTTTGCTTAATTTATTATTGCTCTTTTTTAATATAAAAAAATGAAATTACATTTATTGTGATTCTCTAGAAATTGAATTCTGATTCCTGATGATGTTGTTATGTGTAATCGAGTCACCCCCTACTCATAGCGACCCTGTGTACAAGAGCCTTAAACCCTGCTCTATCCTGTGCCAATCTTACAGTCTTTGACACACCCACCCCCATTACCCCAGTCACTGAATCAATTGATCTCATCAAGGGTCTTCCTCTCCTGTGCTGTCCCTCCACCCTCCCAAGCATAACCTCCCTCTCCAAGTACTGGTGCCTCCTTGCAATAATATGTCCAAGGTATGTCAGAAGATGCTTCAGAATCCTTGCCTCCAAGGAGCCGCCTGGTTTAACCCTTTTCAGGACGAATTTGTTCATTCTCTTAACAGTCCATGGTATATTCAATACTCTTCTCCAACATCACAGCTCAAAGACAACAATTCTTCTACCATCTCTTGTCATTGTCCAGCTCTCTGATGCCTAACAAGTGATTGCAAAGACCATGGCGCATCTTAGTCTCCAGACTGACATCATTGCTCTTCAGTACTTTGAAGAGGTCTCTGACAGCAGACTTCCCCAGTGCAATACATCTTTTAATTTTCTGGCTGCTGGTGCCAAGAGTGTTGATTATAGAACCAATCAAACTAAAGCTGTTTACAGTCTCAGTCTCTTCACCATCCATCATGATGCTGCTAATCAGCCCAGTGGTAAGAATCTTTGTTTTCTTGAAATTGAATTTCAATCCATATTGAAGGCTGCAGTCCTTGACCTTCTGCAGCAAGCACTTCAGGTCCTCCTCAGTTTCAACAAGCAGGGTTGTGTCATCTGCATAATGCAGTTGTTGATGAGTTTTCCTCCAATCCTGATGCCACATTTCTCCTCCTAGAGCCCAGCCTCCCAGATAAGTTGTTCTGCCTATAGATGGAAAAGGTTTTGAACCATTGTTCCCTTGCTCTGTT